GGGTTGGGAGGGCAGGGTGGTGGGTGGCGAGGGGGATTGGGGCCGATCATATGTCAAGCAGGTGTGATGGTGGGGGGTGCGGTGAGGCGGCGGCGTGGAGGCTCATGCATACGCTGCTGAGCACGTCGCAGCTGTCGCAGCGCGTGCGGCGCGTCACCTTTCGCGATCGCAAGCACGTGCACACGCATGCATGCATGCATGCACACACACACACACACACACACACACGCGCGCGCGCGCGCATGCAGCCACACCTCAAACCGGCAGTCTCAAGGTCAGAAAAGACGGCTCAAGCCACAAGGGGGGCCAATGACCCACACCGATAAAGCACCCCCCAGCCCCACTCCCCACCCCTGCACACGCTTATACACACACGCACACATACACATATACACACAAAGGCACATACACACACACATATAAACAAACACACATGTACCACTAAGCACGGATTACCCACCCGCTGCATATCTCAATATGTAGGTGTCCAGCGCTATGGCCTCCACCACCCCCGGCCGCTGCACCTTGACAGCCACCTCCTCCCCGCGCCCTGCCCTCAGCCGCGCGCGATAGACCTGGCGCAGGGGGCAGCAAGCCGTTATCGAGCTCAGTTTGTGACACATCCATTCTGATTCGATGATTGGGTTGGTTTTGGAGAGGATTGCCATGTGCGACAGCGCAGCGGGCAGCGGGTGCAAGACAGGCAAGCGAGAGGGCGCGAACGGGGGCCGGCATGTGTGCGAGCGCACGCGCGACGAGGTGTGCAGGTGGCGGCCGCGCACCTGGCCCAGGGACGCGGCGGCTATGGGCTCGGGGCTGATGCTGCTGAATATGACAGACGGCGCGACACCTAGGTCCGCCCGTAAAACCTGTGGTTTTGTCGAGGGAAGGGGGGGGCCTGGGGCACATGCAGAGCACGCTCGTGCAGGGGTGCGGCGCACGCGGGGGCGGCGGGGGGACGGGAAGACGGGCCGGCGAGCGGGGCCGTCGCAAGGGCGCCAGCTTTCTTGACAATGTCGGGGCCCCAGCTGCCGCCAAACACCTTGCCATCGGCACCCTCGCAGCCACGCGCGTGCACTCCCACGTGCAGAGCAAGTGCGCCGCACATGCACGAGCTTGTGCGCAAGCACACGCGCGTGCGTGCCAAGGGAGCGGGGGTGGGAGAAGGGGCGTGGTGTGGCGCAGCTGCCCCTGCCGCGCGCCTTCATGGCTTCTTCGGTGGAGAATGGTGGGATCCTGTCTTGCAGCTGCTCCAGCTCCTCCAGCCAAACAGGGGGCATCAGGTCGGGCCTGGGGGGAGAGATGTGTGTGTGTGTGTGTGTGTGTGTGTGTGTGTGTGTGTGTGTG